ATTACTTGTGCAACGGAGAAACGGCCCGGGTTCACTCCTCTAACGAAGAAGTCAGAAGCACCGAGCCAGAACCTTTTGGCTACGATTATGAGATGGATCTAGACCATGAAGTGTTTCTTTGTACGTTGCGCCATTTCTTCCCAGACTTTACTCTTGTTGATTTTGAGTTCAAGATGACAAAAAACCTTTGTTTTCTCTCAAGTCCATGCCTCCGGAAGAGGAATTCAAGCAAATAATTGGCGATTTCGATCATAACCCTCATTATCTGTTGCGCTCAAGGGTACCAGAACAATATAAACACAACTGGAAAGCCACACCTCCTACCGTAAATCCGTCCGACCCCAAAACTTATCATTCCCTCATCGGCCCAGATGCCATTATCGACGACATTGCTCAATTACTCAGCATCCCGGAGCATATAGCTCGTGCAGAAGAGAGCCGCATCGCTACCTACGAGAGTCTGATCTGCGTATATCTCCAAGACGGGAATATGGACTACTTTTTTTCGAGGATCGACACTATTGCATCTTCTAAAGATATTCCACTGGACATCATCAGTCTCGGCATATCTATCATCACCCATGGATTATGGCCAATGATATTCGATGCTTCATCATCTCCTCTATATGCAGCAAGTCCTTCCTTGTCTTCTCTATCGAAGGGATACGATTGGGTTGTTTTGGGTCGTTGTATAGTGAAGGTGGTAACACATCTCGATGATGAGATGAATCTACAGGCTGCCATCATTGAAATTGTCAACCTTGTACAAGAAGAACACATCACCAAAAAGATCCAGATCGACTCCCAGACCGTCCATGGCATTCTGTTCTCCTTTTCACACTGCGTCCTGGTTCGAGCGGAATTTTCTTCTGGGATGTTCACCTACACCCATACTCCTGCTCTCAAATTCCTTCCGGTGGAGTACCCTGTCGATGGTTCCACGCCTGGTATCACCGCGGTGGCACGCCTCGGACACATACTATACCGTTATATCTTGGACAGTTGGTTCTCTGAGCCACCTATCATAGCACCCAAGGACAATGAGAAGGAACTCGCTGTCCTCCGTGTGCCTACCGAGATATGGCGAACAATCGCAGATCAACTACATTACTATGTTGACCTCGCTGTATGTGCTTCATTCTCAGAAGCGTCCAAAAACGCTACAATCGACTCGTTGAGTTTTCCGAGGATCGATGGAGCGACACTTTACTCTTCAATACTGCATACTACTGGTGAATTTAAGCCTGCGCTCGAGCAGAGTATTGAATCTGAAAGAGCTGAGCAGGAAAGGAAAAACCGAAATACCTATACCTCCATTTTCGACGTAAGAATCTATGGAAAAGGTTCGGCATATAAAGATTTCCGTGAGCGAAGTCGGACACCTCGTCCAAAAGAAATCAAAGGTCGCGTTTACATTGATCACGGCTGGTCAGGCCTTACTTTGTACCGACCACTCTCAGTGCACAAGGAGCATGAAATGATGAAAAGAGGTTTTAAGAAAGTGACGGACAAGGTGATGAAGGCGGTTATTTTTAACTTGCAAGTTGTTTGTAGCGAGGGTATCATACCTTTGGAGATTTTGTGCTGGCAGAAAACGTCGAGAAGAAGTAGAAGTGTACTTTACTGATTAATTATAGCAAGTACGGCAACTATCGAAACCTACTTTTTCGGGTACCCCTGGTGCATTGGAAAACGAGTTGGTAGCCCGATGTTTATTTATCTACTGGTAATACAGTCGATTTACACTCACGGTGGCAGGTTTAGGTATCCTGATTCTCAACTCGATCCCAAGAGACTCAGACAGATATCAAAGAGAACTGCAATTAGAGAATCTTGTTTCTGTCGGGGCAGAGGCGAGACAACCTAGGATTCGAAGTACGTATGGAGACGAACCGAAATTCAAAGGTTTTCATGGGTGCGGTGCGGCTTGTTATCCAAAGGAAGTTACATACCTTCATCGATGCAAAGGGTGGTATTTCACTTTCTCTAGACCCTCCGGTTGAAAGAAAAGTGGATAGAAAAGGCTTCAGACAGGTGACAGACATGCGAAAGGCATAGCGAAGGCATGAATTCTGCACAGGTCTCATGTCGATATCCGTATCCCCCCGTTTATAGATTTCTCGTCTCTACATTTACACAATGATGAACAAAACACTACAGACACTGACTGTAGTACGGATTAGAAACGGTGCAGGTAGAGCCAGATGCACACTGTGTTGGTCCGCTGTAACCGATACCACCACTGAAATATTCGGATGAGACCAATACATCACCTATAGGCAAATCCAAACTCACCATTGACCATACTGGGGAACTGTACCACTTGACCCACCACTAGTCGACCCACCGCCAGTAGAACCACCACCAGTTGATCCTCCAGTACTACTGCCCGTGGACCCACCGGAGATAGCTCCTCCAGTACCGCTCTGCAACGTGAAACTCTTGACAGTGACCGACCCTCCAGTCGCTTTCGTCGCATAGTTGAAGATGCCGAATCTGTAACCCATAAAGAACTGCCAAGCAGTGTTCAAAGCGAGCGTGTTGCCCAACGTCGTAAACGTCTGTCCATCAGTCGAATAAGAGAAGACCGCGTTCTTGGCACCAGATGGAGCAATGTCGGCCGTCAGTCGGAGATAAATTTGGTTGCCGCTAATCGACGCAGTGGCTATTTCCGAGCCAGTACTGGAAGTAGTCCAAGTGCTAGACATGGTGAGACCATTGACCATGACGAGTTGTTTGGTGTTTCCAGTACGTTTGACACCAATCCAAGCAGAGGTATCACGAAGCATGGCGAGACCAGCACGGTCTCCATCCGCCATGTTTGTGAAATCGAGAAGTATGGTTCCTGTAGACTTGGGGCCGAGGATACGGTGGGTGATGGTATTTCTCGCCGAGTAGAGGTCGGTGGTCACGGTAGCGGTACGGAGAACGAGACCATTGCTAATAGACCATGCATTGTTGTCTGGGTTGTGGTTCCACTCCCATTCAGGACCAATTGAAGTGAATGTATCGGTACCCGTTGGTGATTTGACATTGTGTTGGGTCAAAGGGTAGTTGAGCGAAGTAGGCCAGCGGTTACCATTGGTCAGAGTTGGCCAACCATCCGACGACCAAGTGACGGGGGCGAGGACAGGGACACGACCTCCAGGATAGGCGTCATTGAAAGCCATGTAGTACCAGTCACCGTTAGGAGTATCGATGAGGCCTCCTTGGTGGGGGTTACCTCCACCACTAATGGGAGTAACAGCGGCCAGGGATAGGGAGCGAATAGTGTAAGGACCAAATGGACCAGAGGTTGATTTCAAAACATATTCATCCGAAGCAGGCCTAGTGACGAGGATGTAGTAGGCACCACCCTTCTTGTAGAAACGGTTTCCTAATTGAAAATTAGTAACAACGCTGCCATGCCAGGACAACATCACCGACCTTCGAGGGAGCCAACAGTGGACGAATAGACAGACTTGTGTGTTACTTCGGAAAGACCGTCCGAAGAAAGTTGGGCGACACTAATTTGAGTGTTTCCGTACGCGACGTAGATGGTACCGTCATCATCAACAAGCATACCAGCATCGTAGTAGCAATTGTTGATAACCGAACGCTGAGCCCAACCCGAATCAATGTTTTGCGAAGTATAGACATACGTCTTGGCAAAGTCAATACATCCAAGCCAATGAAAGGTTGAAGTACTGGGGCGCCATTTCAGGGAAGAGGCCCAGATACCACGCACGTAGGCGCGACCACCGACAAGGCTGTAGTCGTTGTCGCCGAAATCAAGGGACGGGACAGAGTGACCAATGTATTCCCAGTTCACCAAGTCGTATGAACGTAGGATGGGTGCCCCAGGAGAATAGTGCATGGTTGACGCGCTACAATTCCCAAACAATCAGCTGAGTTACAGCTCAGCGGCAGGAAGCGGAAATTTTACCTGTAGTAATATGTGGTACCGACACGAATGATATCCAAGTCGGCCAGATCTTCCCAAAAGACTGGGTTGGTGAAGGTAGCATCTGCGGTTCTAGGAGCGAGAGTGGTATTAGTCGAGTATTCAGCGTCCTGAATGCCAAAATATTGTTAGGGAAGCTTCCCAAATATCGGGCGAGTATCGTAAACGTACCGCAGACTGTCCTTGAATAGCAACCGACGAGACGGACCTAATAGCGACCGCAAGGGTGACGACGAGAGATGACCAATTGACGAGAACCATTATATGCACTGTCTCCTCAAAAAACTGAAGAGTAAAGTCGGGGGTGCGGGCGAGCTATTATATACGCCACGAGAACAGGTAGGGCAGGAGAAATATAAACCACCGACGAGCGTAAAAACTGACGGGTAAATGAATGAAACCGAAATGTTTCCGACGAAAACGATTGTACCTGGACAGACTACGCGCTGATCAGTGAATATGCTACCAGACCAAGTCACCAGGCTCACCGTTTTCGTTAAATTCCCTCAGGCCCAAGGCATTATCCGTTGTGTTTCCGAAGCGTTTGCTCATTCTACCATGCGTATCTTTTGGCACGCATCCCCTGAAGCTGTTCACCATGACTCCGAGAAAAACTGTGGCAGTCACGCGGTGCAAGGAAAGATCAGATTGACCATAAAAGTGGATAGTGGTTCGTTGCAAAGGTCCGGCGGAAAATTTGTCGCGTCATGACAGAAGAAGGGTCGCATCCAGTGATCACAACACTGACAATTGTCGTTAGCTCTAGTACAGGGCTTGATGAAAAGTAATTATCGAAGCATACTGAGATCTTGTCCTCGGTATCAATACGGTATAACGGTTGGAGAGACCGTTCAAGCTCAAAGTTTGTGTCTCATTGGTTCCTCCTCGCTGTGGGGAAAAGTCAGAAGAGTTTTGGCCATCTCAGGCGACACACAAAAGACAAGAACACACCGGACCCGGGCTTGTTCAGCCATTGAAGTTCGTCTGAGCTAGAAGTAAAGGAAACGAACCTCTCTACAAGACAGCTAGATGTTACACATCACGTCTCGGATTGTCTGCCCGCTTAGCTCAGTGGTAGAGCGCGCCACTCGTATGCAAGTGGAATGGTGAGGTCGGTTGTTCAATCCAGCCAGTGGGCATTCAGTACCATCGTCTACCGTTTTAGCTCATTTGTCGAGCTGAAAACGCATTCAAATCCGATATATTGCTTGTTTCAATAATGCTCAACAACTCTTCATATCGAATTCAAGTCAGCCAGAGCTACAAATACAGATTGTCTCTAGGAAAACAATTCTGATTTACGAAAGGCATCCATGTATCATGCTTCCATTTCTCAAATATTGCGTTGATACTCGCGACATGAGCGAACCTCTACTTTCACACTAGAGAGAATTATGACCAGGGACCTCTCAGAAAAAGAGTATACGTACCATCGGACACCAAAACACATCATCCCCACAGGACTTCCACCGCTCCATTGCTCCTCCCGCTTCCCATGCAAGACAATAGTAACACTGTCTCAGAAGTCCTTCATCCGGAATTGTAACTTCTAATTCAAAACATGCAATCTCCTCCTCGCCTTTACCACGTACACTCGACTTCTCTGTTCGAGTTCTCCCTGTCAATTTTACAACTGAAGGCTTGGAATCCAGCAAGATATGGATGGGTGAACCTATCCACATTTGCGTGGCATATCCAGGATCATCTGGTTTATACGGAGCACCGGGTACATTAGGGTTTAGCCAGAAACAACGTCTGGCGTATGCCTCTTCCATCGTTTCGTCTGGGGCGTTGAGAGAGCAGAAAATACGAGTCCCAGGCGGGTCAACCATTCCGTAAGGACGTGAGTAAGTCAGATACCATTTTCGTTTGTACCGACTCAGAGACTCGGCGATACCAGCAGAGTGACGGGAGGCGAATTGGATGACTTCCGGGTCATTGGGTGTTTCTTGGATAACGGCAGAAGACGCGGGCATAATTTCTACAGAATGGGTTGGCCTCCAGACTAGTGACTATCGTAGTCAGTGAGGGTAGACAAAAAATCGGGTTATATGAAGAGTCTAGCGGTGCATCCCTTGAAACATTTTAAAGTATGTTGCGGAGTAGCGAATCAAAAAGTTGGATTTCATTCTCTCGCAACGCTGAATAAGCCAAGCTTGGGTTCTTCCCATTCGATGTAGTGCGTATAATTCTCAAATTCAATCAACATTCCAAGTGCCAAAGTATCAAACACGCTGATCCCTTATTCCATTCAAGAGTAGCGGAACACTCTTCGGGGTCAAGTTCTATAGATCCTAGGTTGAATATTTTACGCAACTGAAAGAAGGCGAAAATTTTATCTCGAATCACTTATCAATGTTATCATTCATATCTAACCTGTTTTCGTGGCTATACCTTCCGAATGGAATCGAATCTTTGATATCAACGCTCACTTGTGGGGTTAGCACGTTGAAAACGCTCGATTCCTGACAACTGCGGTTAAAATGTGGAGGCCGTATGTAGTCTGTTCAACTTGAATACCGTTGGGAACGGAGCCTCTCTTCTTTCAAGGACTTGGAGCATGGCCCGCTATGAACTGTTTCCGACAATAGTTCAGCTTGGAACAGAATTATATTCTTCTACTTTTGATCATTTATTTTTTCTCCATTCGCCATACTGTCTCCTTGACCTTTAAATACTCTTTTTTCACCAGGTTTTCTTAAGCTAAACTCCAACTGCTTCGAATATCACTCTTAACCATGCGTTCTTCTGCGACGTTGTTGATTCTGTTATTGTGCACTGTGTTCAGAGCTTCATACGCCTTGCCTGCGGCAGTAAGTGTAATGTTATTTTTCTACATGCGATTTACTCATAATCTTTCGCCCTCTCCGAACATCCCAGACAAACACTACGTCTCAGGCGCCCCAACCCACGTCAACCCAAGGTCTTACTTGTCCCGTGTTGTCAAACACAGTAGCCACTGCCAACACCAGGACCATTACTCCTAGGGGCTTAAGCCTCTTTGATACTTTCACGTCCCTCTTTCGACGTCAAGGAGGGAGTGAATTTGTTGGATGGCATGGAACTACTGGGGTATGCACTCAACTCCTTTCTGTATAAAATGTGTTTGATTGACAATCTGTCTATCTATAGGTGAATGCTTGCAGATACACAAATTCTGGGCGAATGGGAGGAAGTATTCCTGTCTTGTAAGTTACTCTACTGCCTAATATAAGTTAAGGTGATATTGACTGAATCTATCTCAGGGATCAATTCAATGGTGCCGACGCTGAGTTGGGCCCTGGGCTCTACGTTACGGACGATATCACAACGTAAGTTCAAGTACATCCCTTCTTGCTTGGTTTAAGCTCATAGGTATCCTTCAGTGCCCGAGTTTTTGCACTCACGACTGCAAATGCTCGTCGTAATGCTGGTGTAACAGACCCCCTTGCGCTTCTCCCCACAGTATGCAAAGTCGAAGCTATAAGCCAAATGAATTGGAGGAACAATGTCCCCCAAATATTGGATACCTTTTGCTAATCTTGCAAGGTTGATCCCGGGAGTAGGAAACAATCCTGCCATGTTGGCTCAGCAAGCACAACTCATTACAAATGCGGGATTGAATCCGGCGAACACGATTAGATTTTCCGCTCGTACGTAGTCTATCCGAACGCACGTTCCATTTCTAAACTTGAAACCATCTATTCTACTATATAGTTGTCAGCCCTCCCAACAGTGCTGGTGGTACAAATCAAATGTCGATCCCTACGACTCAGTTCCCAAATCTCCGGTAAGTTATTGTTTCAATCCTACACTCAGTCCTGGTCCCCTTCAATCTGACTTGTATACTACGACGTGGTACTGATCCTTTCACCCTTTGGAGTACCAGTAATTAGATATCTGCTCAAATCTCTATAGACCATATTTCAATACGCCCAACGTAAGTCAGTATTGACTTTTGGCGGGCATATTTAAATATCCCTCAAGGTGTAGATCAGAAAAATGCATGTTGCTGAACAGAAAACAAATAGGCCGATGCGAGAATTGAACCATCGCTACTAGACGCTCAAACCTGCGCAATCTGCCATTACACTAAAGCGCCGCTGAAGTAGGCAGTATTATTGACTGCATTTAGGTAGGTTAGGGTTGGGTTAGGGTTGGGTTAGGTTAGGGTTAGGGTAGGGTTAGGTTAGGGTTAGGGGTTAGGGGGGTCCGGGGGCACAGCCCCCGTTAGCAGGTTAGGGTGTAGAGGACATTTAACGCGCAAAATGAGGCTTTAGTGTGCCTGCCTGAGACTCCCCGGCTCGGGGGACCCCCTGAGCGAAGCGAAGGAGGGGAGGGGAGCGAATGGCAGGCCCGAAATTTTGCGCACATGTGAGATATAGTAACTGATTATTCCATGCTCAAATGGCCTAGCAGTAAATGGTGCTTGTGCAACGTATTGATATACTTGTGGCTCGGTTCGATCCTTGTTAGGGACACTATTATCCGTCGCGTGGGAATATATCCTTTTTTCGGATCTACCCATATTTGATAGACGCGCCCGGGTTCATGTATATTTAATTACCCCCGCCAAAAGTCAATACTGACTTACCTTGGCCATATTGAAATATGGATTATGAACATTTTCAGGGCGTATTTAATTGTTGGTACTGGGTCGCCTCATCCTTTATCTCAATTCTCTCAGAATCACAGAATGTCTACCCACCTCTAACAATGATCCAGACCTCATCCTTGGTTTTACTGGTGTTACTGCGGCGAACAGAAATACTTTCACTCATCCTGGATTTATTTACCAAGCCTTTAGGCAAGTCGTTGGCGGTGTTTGGGATATTTTGGGTAACAATCTTTAGTCTCTGGTTTTGATTTTCTCTGGGTTTTGGTATTTGCCTACATAACATCAATATACACGCGATTGCGACCACTGTGTAGTAAATATACTCATCGTAGCCCGACTTACTCGGGCCGACATCGAGTTCCTACGAATGTTCTCTTTTTCAGTCGAACCTCAACAATCGAATCCACCAACGGTAAAAGCCCCTGAATGGTATCGCCATCCGACAGTTCAAACTTAAACATTTGTGCCCGAAACAACACCGCCAACATAGTATTACAAAGACTAAAGTTTACTAGTAAAGCTGAGGTATAAAATTTAGTATCTCAGCGGTCTAGCCTTCCGGACAGAATCGTCGCTTGCCTGTTCGAATCATGCAAGTTGAATCAAGGCACATCTTGCGGTTATTTTGTCTTGATTTTTCTTATACTTGCATATCAATGAATGAAGATCAGACTTTTGACGATATATATTAAGTATACTTCCCAGTAGTATATTTATTCGACTCTAGCTCAGCGGAACAATTCTCTTGCTCAGAGGTCGGAAGACCGTGACGTACGAAGCTATTGTCTGTTCGAATCAGGGAAGTCGAATTCCTGAAGCCGTTTCAAAGTGACTACTTTTTCTTTTTCTGCCGATTGGCCTCAAGGCACTTGAACACCTACAACAATCGCAATAAGGAATAGCTTTTTCCGTCCTCTTCAAGTTCTTCAATAACTATCGAGCCGGGCATAAAAGCCTGTATGTATATACCTGTTCTCTCTCCTCTGTATTGCTTATGGAACTCCATCTAGGGCACTGTCGTTACCAAAGTATTGCATCTGATGCAAACAGAGGTACAGTGGTCATGTCCATTTGAATTATGGTAATCCCTCGAGCGATCCCATTGTGTCCGATACAACAATCGTGGCGAAAGCGTCCAACCAATGGATAATTTTATTTACAATCAGAAAGTTGCCAACTGCAACGAGGACATTTATAATATTCACTGTCTTATATTATTATCTACTTCCTTTCTCAGTGCTAGACCTGCGAAGTTACAAATTCCTCCCGTCAACTTGCACACATTGCAATTATTCACGATCAGAAGTACGGTACTCTAGCTCAGCGGTACAAACACGCCCTTCTGGAGCCGCTGCAAGGCGACGCCTGTTCGAACCAGGCAAGTGCTCATACTGTGGCAATGTTCATTTCTTTTTTTCTCTCTTTCTCCCTTTCGTTACCTCCGGGTGGTTGAAATGCATATATAAAAATCGAATCATAACGATAGGCCTACTTGTTTTTGTTTTTCAACTATGCAAGTACACCTATTTATGGATCCAAAGC